CCTTACAGGGATGCACACAGTGACACACGGTGACACACACTTCCTCCTCCCCGGTCCCCGGCAACACCAGCTGCCTCGTTGAATTTATGCTCGCGTGCAGAATGGGATGAGGTGGGGACAGGACGCGAACCGCTGCACTACAGAAGCCCGCTGCTCGCCACCCTCCCCGCACCCTCCTGCTCCGCGCCTCCCTTGCCCCACCCCCCCAAGTCGCCACCATCCAGTTTCCCCGCCCTCCACTGGCCACCCGCCCCACACCCCCAAAGCTGCCCTGCAGTCCTCCTAACACGGGCTCAGGCCGATGACCCTGGAAGAGCGGCCAGGAGAGGCCGAGGGGGACTGGGGCCCAGGGAGCCGCCTTTGCGGCCGGGACTCGGGGGAGGAGGGAGGCCCTAGGGGGAGGGGGAGGGAAGAGCGCGGAGGGAGGGAGGGGGGCGGAGGAGGAGGAAGAGGGCGGGCGAGCTGGAGCTGGAGCCGGCGGGCGGCGGGAGCCCGGGCGCGGAGCCGCGCCGGGAGTGCGTCTTCGAGGCAGTGCTGGGCGCAGCCAGAGGTAAGACGACCCCTGCCCCGGCCCGCGTCGCCTCCCCTCTTCCCTCAGCTGCTCTCTCCCTACTCCCTGGCCGGCCCCTCCTCCCCAGCCACCTGCTGTTGCTGCCTGGAGAGCAGGGTGGGTGGGTGGGTGACCGGAGGGAGGAGCTGTCTGACCTTACCCTTGCACCGCGAAGGGCGAGGGACCCCTGCCGGCCAGGGCGCGCGCCCCCCAGGCCCCCTGCCGCCTCCCTCTGATCCCTCTCTGTCCTTCACCCCCTCTCCCTGCCCTTCACAGCCTTCCTGCCTTCCTCTCCCCCTCTGCCTCCCCATCCTTTTCTTCCGGAGCCCACCAGCTGGGCCTGGACAGAGGTGGGTGGGCAGGGGTCCACGGCTGTGGGGAGGGGAGTGGGGGGGGCGCTCCTGACCAATTCCCTCCACCTCCCTCTGGCTGGCCATTGCCATGGCAACTAGGGTGTACTGGGCTTGGAGGGAAGACAGAGATGGGGGTGGACCGGAGCCTCTTGGGGAGGGCAAGGGTCTGAGGCTCTCCCAGCAGGACAGGCCGCTGTGTCCTTTTCTCACCCATTCACCCCAAAGCCTTTGTGCCTGTACCTACAGCCTCGACTCTTCCCCGGGAGATTCACCGGGTTTCCTCTTAGTCCCCTCCCCAGGGCTCTCTGAAGCTTAGAGTCACTAAAAGCAGCCCCTCCTCCCATCAGAGGGAAACTGAGGCTGTGAGCCAGGACTCCAGTGGGAGCCAGCACCTTGTAGAACATTTGGCTTCTCTCCTCCAGCCTGCGATTGCCTGCTGCTCCCTCCTCCCTCCCGGCTCCCTCCCCAGGGGGTTCTGAGCTTTCCCTTCTATTTTCAGATACTACCACTTTGCCCCCTCTTTCTCTTCTGCTCAGACTCTCCTCCTGCTCCCCAGTTCCCCCTCTTTCCATTTCTGGATCCTTCTGATGTCAGCAGTTTCCCCGCCTTCGGGTTCCCTAGCACCCCCTATCCCCCCACCTTGGTCCCAGCCTCCCTCTCCCATTTTCTCACATCCCTGGGTAGCTGAAGGGTGATCATCCAGGCTTGGGGGAATGGGGTTGAGCACCAAGACGGCTGTACCCGGGAGCCTGGCAGGGAGGGGAGGGGGCTGCAATGCCACATCCCAGTTTGCTGTGAATCCTTGCGATGAGACACGTCCTGTGTCTCCCATCAGCTAGCATGAAGGCAGGGGTGAATGAGCACTGAGCAGCAGGTATACTGGAAAGGTACCTGGGGGCTCCTGAGGGAGGAGACAGGGAGGAAGGGAGGCCTTTGCTGGAGGTCTGGTGGATCAGGAGCTTGGATCTGTGTGTGGTGTTTGGATGGCCACCTGGTTGAAGGCAGGGACATGGTCTGGGTGATCCCTGTGGCCCCTAAGCAATCAGTGAGTCCTACAGTTTCGAGAGAAAGGCGGCACCTGAAACCCTCTGGAGAACCTGCCAAGGGCCTACCTCTGCCCCCTCCCTGCCCTATCTCCTCTTTCCCCTGCAGCTTGTCCAAGTGGCTGAGGCCCACGCCCAGGCCCCTGGGGGCATTCAGAACATCTCTGACTGGTCAAGAGCCCAGGGAAGAGGAGGCCTGGAAGGCGCAGCATGGAGACCAGTGCACCCCAGCCAGCCTCCTAGTTGGGAGAGCAGCCAGCTTGCCGCCCCCACCCGTCCCAGGGCTACTTAGGGAAGGGCCTACCCAATATGGAGGCTGGACACTGCCTCTGCTGAGCCTCTGTCTGCTCCTCTGCCCTCCACGCCCGGCCTCAGCTGGCTCAGCCGTGCAATGCTGAGCAGTAGGGCGGGCCTGGGGCCAGCCGGCCTCAGCACGGGGCAAGCACCGTGGGCATCATGGGGGTGTGCGTGAGTGGGGCTCCTGGGTGAGACCTGGCCCCCGCCCCCAGGAGCTCGAGGGGGGCGGGGGGCTGAGGATAGGATGGCTCGGGGCGGGCTGGCAGCAGAGGAGGCCTCCCTGCGCTCCAACGCACTGTCCTGGCTGGCCTGCGGGCTCCTGGCTCTGCTGGCCAACGCCTGGATCATCCTGAGCATCTCGGCCAAGCAGCAGAAGCACAAGCCGCTGGAGTTGCTGCTCTGCTTCCTGGCGGGCACGCACATCCTCATGGCGGCCGTGCCCCTCACCACCTTCGCCGTGGTGCAGCTGCGGCGCCAGGCTTCGTCCGACTACGACTGGAACGAGAGCATCTGCAAGGTCTTCGTGTCCACCTACTACACGCTGGCCCTGGCCACCTGCTTCACGGTCGCCTCGCTCTCCTACCACCGCATGTGGATGGTGCGCTGGCCCGTCAACTACCGCCTGAGCAACGCCAAGAAGCAGGCGCTGCACGCCGTCATGGGCATCTGGATGGTCAGCTTCATCCTCTCCACGCTGCCCTCCATCGGCTGGCACAACAACGGCGAGCGCTACTACGCCCGGGGCTGCCAGTTCATCGTCTCCAAGATCGGCCTCGGCTTCGGCGTCTGCTTCAGCCTCCTGCTCCTCGGGGGCATCGTCATGGGGCTGGTCTGTGTGGCCATCACCTTCTACCAGACGCTGTGGGCTCGGCCCCGGAGGGCTCGGCAGGCCCGGAGAGCGGGGGGCCGTGGTGGGGCCAAGGCAGGGGGGCCGGGAGGAGGCTTGGGGACCCGGCCAGCTTTTGAGGTGCCCGCCATTGTGGTGGAGGATGCCCGTGGGAAGCGGCGGTCCTCTCTGGATGGCTCCGAGTCGGCCAAGACATCCCTGCAGGTCACCAACTTGGTCAGCGCCATCGTCTTTCTCTATGACTCGCTCACGGGGGTGCCCATCTTGGTGAGACTGGGGTCCACCATCTCCTGGTCCTTGTCCAAGCCCCAGCTCCATCAGCCACCTGGCAGCTCCGTCATCTTGCCTCTGGCTCCATCATCCCTCTTCCTCTCCTTGCCCCTTACCCCCTCCATTTGCGACCCCTCCATCTTCCTGCTCCCAGCACCGGCCTCCTGGTGCCGCTGTGTACTCTCTAGTTGACACTGCTCCGTCAGCCTGCAGCTGTATTCCCCATCCTGCAGCTGCCACAGCTGTCATCCAGCTGCGGAGCGTCACTCTCCATTCTCCAATTCCCTCTGGGGACCACACGGTCTCTAAGTATCCCTGGGTGGAGACCCCACAGCGCTCACTCACCCCACCACTCGTCCAGTCCCCAACCTTGTGTCCCTCCCGGCCCCAGGCCTTCATTTTTCCCATGAGTCAGTCCCTTCCGCTCTGTCCAGCCCATCCCTGCCTCCGACTTGCACCTCCGTGCCTCTGTCCCCATCACAGGGCCCGGAACCCTTTGCTGACTTCTTGGCCACCAGCTGCACTGGGGCTGCCGGAGGAGGTCAGGGTCAGGGGGCTGCGGGGGCTCCGGGCCCTGACTTGCGCCACCCACGTCCTCCTGGCAGGTGGTGAGTTTCTTCTCGCTCAAGTCGGACTCGGCTCCACCGTGGATGGTGCTGGCTGTGCTCTGGTGTTCCATGGCACAGACCCTGCTGCTGCCCTCCTTCATCTGGTCGTGTGAGCGCTACCGCGCCGACGTGCGCACCGTGTGGGAGCAGTGTGTGGCCATCATGTCGGAGGAGGACGGCGATGACGGTCAGAGGAGGGCCTGTGCTTTTGCTTTCCTGGACACCTGTCTTCTCCCTTTCCCACCCCGTCTCTGTACGGATGGGCTGTCCTGGGGTGCCCTCTGCTGGACAAAGTCCGCACCATCCCTGGGCTCCCCTTTTCCTGCACAGGCTCCTGGCTGCCTGCTCACTGTTTCTCTGTGCACCCAAGGGGTTCCCCCTCGAGGCCCACACGGTTCTGCTCTTGGAGGAGGAGGGCAGACAGTTGTTGCAAGGTGTTGCAGTGAATGCCTCTAGATGCAGGAAGCACTAGGGATTCAGCACTGTGGGCTACCCTTGCCGACCTCCGGGAACTTTAGAGACCCAAGGAAAGCAAAGGTTCAGGTTGGGGTGTGTGGTGGGGGCGGGTACTCCCTGCCTGGACCCACTCTGCCCCTGTTCTCTCCTAGACGGGGGCTGTGATGACTATGCAGATGGCCGCCTGTGCAAAGTTCGCTTTGATGCTAACGGGGCCGCAAGCCCTGGGGGCCGGGACCCCACCCAGGTGAAGCTGCTGCCTGGAAGACACATGCTCTTTCCCCCTCTTGAGAGAGTCCATTACTTACAGGTAGGGGCTGGGGAGCACACCCCCCACCACTTCTCTCCAGATTCCACTGCCCACTCCCACCCACTATGGCCTGGTGCTGGCCTGCAGGGCACCAGAAAGGGTAGGTGGGCGAGGACACAGCAGGAAGGTGTGCCCCCTCCAACCTCTTAGAACCGGGCTGGCCCACTGGAGCAAACACGCGAAGACCCTTAAGACAGGCCGCCTCGCAGAGCCCCCACTTCCTTTGCTTCCACCTCCTCTGTCCCTGCAACACCTCCAGGTCTTACCCATCCTCTTCCCAGGTCCCTCTGTCCCGCCGTCTGTCCCACGATGAAACCAACATCTTCTCGACTCCTCGGGCACCGGGCTCCTTCCTGCACAAGTGGTCATCCTCCGACGACATTCGGGTCCTCCCAGCTCAGAGCCGGGCCCTTGGAGGCCCCCCTGAATACCTGGGACAGAGACACAGGCTGGAGGATGAGGAGGATGAGGACGAGGAGGAGGCTGAAGGCGGGGGGCTGGCCAGCCTTCGGCAGTTTCTGGAGAGTGGGGTTCTGGGGTCAAGTGGGGGACCACTGCGGGGTCCCGGTTTCTTCCGGGAAGAGATCACCACCTTTATTGACGAGACGCCTCTGCCTTCCCCGACTGCCTCCCCGGGACCCTCTCCTCGTCGGCCCCGGCCACTGGGCCTCTCACCCCGCCGACTCTCCTTGGGGTCTCCTGACAGCAGAGCTGTTGGACTTCCCCTGGGGCTCAGTACAGGGAGACGTTGCTCCCTGACAGGGGGGGAGGGGGCTGCAAGGGTTTGGGGAGGGTCTTGGGGCCCAGGGAACCCCATCTTCCCCCAGATGACTCTCTGAGCCCACTGGGCCTGCTGGACTTGAAGGAGGGGCCTGGGTAAGTAACCCTCACTCCAGCTGCCTCCAGACTCTGGGGAGATGGGACTAGAGACCGGAAGTGGGCTCCGGAGCCCCTACACTCTCCCATCCCAGTGACCAGATGCCCTGCTCTCCTTTCACCACCCTTAGCGAAATGTATTAAAGGCTGACATGTTGCCATGGAAACGTTGGTGTCCAGTGCACTTTGGTGGTGGAGGGTGTGCACAGAGGCTTGGGGCTTCGGAGAGGCTCATTGAGGACAAAACAGAGCAGGGGCGGTGGCCAGAGGCCGGGAGGACAGGGAGAAGCCGTCACACTCTTCAGCGCGCAGACTGAGCAGAGGCAGGCGTGTCCAGTGTGGCGAGCTGGCCGTGGAAGCCAGGGAGATACTTGAAAGTGGTCTTTGGGGCCTGAAGGGTCTTCTTTCAGATTCCCTGCGGTGGTTTTAGGGGTCTCTGTCCCCAATGCCCCCAACTCGCCCCTTCCCCCAGATCCATCCAGGAGCGACTTCTGGGCAGTGAAGTCCTTGGCCGCCCTGCTGTGCCAGGCCCAGAGCCCTCCCCGTGGCTCCGCAGGCTCCTTCTGCAGAGGCGTGGGGGTGGGTGAGTGCGTGAGAGGCACCCGGGAGCTGCAGCGCAGAGAGAGGGGAGAACACAGCCCCAGACACTCCCTCCACAGCCCGGGCCTCGGGCCTCGGTGCCAGCCTGCTGCCCTTGGGCCCGTTTCCCTTTCTCGCCTGGGCCGGCCTCCCTCTTCCTTCTCTGCCATCTCTCACGGCGGCCTCGCCCCGACTGGGCCTGGGCCCCCCTCGCTCCCTCAGCCTGGCGCATTCCTTTTCTCCTCCGCTCCCTCCTCCTCTCCATCCTCCCTTCCTTCCCTCCCCCCTCCCCCCTTTCCTCTCCCTCCCTCGCGGCTCCCCATTTCCCTTCGGCAGCGGCCGGCCGCTCGGGCACCATGCTCCGGCTCCTCCGGTTGCTGCTGCTGCTGCTGCTGCTGCCTCCCCCGGGGTCCCCCGAGCCCCCCGGCCTGGCCCCGCTGTCCCCGGGGGCGCCCCCTCAGGCCCCCGACTTGCTCTACGCGGACGGGCTGCGCGCCTACGCGGACGGGGCTTGGGCGCAGGCCGTGGCGCTGCTGCGGGAGGCACTGCGGAGCCAGGCGGCGCTCGGCCGCGCGCGGCAGGACTGCGGGGCGAGCTGTGCGGCCGAGCCGGGCGCCGCGCTCCCCGCCGTGCTCCCGGGCGCCCCGGGGCCTGACTCCCGGCAGGAATCCTGGGAGCCACTGCTGCTCCGCGCCGCGCTCCGCCGCGCCGAGTGCCTGACCCAGTGCTCGGCGCGGAGGCTGGGCCCCGGGGGCGCGGCGCGACTCCGCGTGGGGAGCGCACTGCGGGACGCCTTCCGCCGCCGGGAGCCCTACAACTACCTGCAGAGGGCCTACTACCAGGTGCGGGCGCCGCCTGGCCCGTCTCGAGGGTCCCACCCCCGGCGCTGGTTGCTGGGCCGGGAGAGGGCGGAGAGCCGGCGCCCGGCGTCGCACTCGCACTGGGGGCTGCGAGGCGCGTTCAGCAGACCTCAGCGTTCCAGGAGGTCCCGGCAGAATCGCCGCCCGGTACCTGTTAGGGTCAGAGGGACAGCCCGGGGAGAGTGCGAGCGCCCTTGCCGTGGGGCGGGAGCTCAGGAGGCGGAGTGGGAGTAGAGCGAGATGGAGGGAGGGGGCCCGCGAGGCGCTGGCGAGACCTTGCTGAGCCCCCCGGGGAGCGAGTCTAGGGGCGGAACTGGCGGCTGGACCTGGACGGCGCGGTCAGGGCTGGTGATGTGAGCCTTCGCTTGGGGGCAGGCTAAGGTTTGGGAAAGGTAAGCCGTGAGGGTTCCCCAGGCCAGACTTCTGGGGATGCGCGCAGCTCCTGAGACAGTGGCTGCTGCCTACGTGGCTAAGGGAGGGCGCTGGTCACACACCTCAGCTCAGGGTCCTAGAGACCTGTGGGTTTTTGGCTGGTCGCTGGGGTCTCCCCAGCTTTCCCACCTCACTGAGCCATCACTTGGCAGCTTGTCTCCCAGATGAAGCCCCTCCGGGGTCCCACCCTTTCCGCAGTCTTCAGACCCCCTTCCCTTAGAAAGCAGGCTCTTGGGGAGTCCCGGTGTTTTGATTTCTAGGGGACTGCAGGCTGGAGTGTGTGTGGGCAGGGGCGCTGGGAAGGCGGTGGAGGTCTGAGACCCCCACCTCAGGACTCCCTCCTGCCTTCGCTCCCCAGCTGAAGAAGCTGGACCTGGCCGCCGCGGCAGCACACACCTTCTTTGTGGCCAACCCCACGCACCTGCAGATGCGCGAGGACATGGCCAAGTACAGAAGGATGGCGGGGATTCGGCCCCAGAGCTTCCGGGACCTGGAGACGCCCCCGCACTGGGTGAGGCCCTCAGCACCACTCCTGCCTGCCTTCAGCCTTTCTTGTTTTACATTTTTAAAATTTTTTTTCACTTTGTAAGCCGGAGAGACAGAAGTTTTCTGTCTGCTGATTCACTCCCCAAATGCCCTTCACTTCAGCCAGGGCTGGGCCAGCCTGAAGCCAGGAGCCAGAAATTCAGTTTGGGCTTTCCACGGGGATGGCAAGGACCCAAGTACTTAAGCCACCTTCTGCTGCCTCCCAGGTGTGCATTAGCAGGAAGCTGGAATCCGAAGCTAGGCGTGGACGCAAGCCTAGGCACTCTGATAAGAGATGTGGAGTGGTGGCTGCTGCTGCTGCTGCTGCTTTTGTAAAGTAATTGTGGCTGCTTCAAATGTATTTCCTCAGCAAGCCTTTAAAAAAAAAGATTTATTTGTTTTAAAGAGAGTTTCAGAGACATAGGGAGAGACAGAGGGAGATCAATCAATCTTCCACCTGCTGATTCTCTCCCCAAATGGCTGCAACAGCCAAGAGCTTCTTCTGAGTCTCCCACGTGAGTAGCAGGGGCCCAAGCACTTGGGCCATCTTCTGTGGTTTTCCCAGGCCAATAGCAGGGAGCTGGATCGGAAGTAGAGCAGCCAGTGCCCATATGGGATGCCAGCACTGCAGACAGTGGCTTAATCCGCTCTGCCACAGCGCAGGCCCCCAAATGGCTTTTTAAGCACTGCCTCAAATATCCACCCCTACCCCCAGCCTTTGTGCACAGGCCTCATTGACTGTGGCTCTGAGCAGCTCGGGCCTCGGGAGAGCTGGGTTCTGGTCTTCAGTGACTTGGAGAGGAGAATCCTTCTCCAGCACTTGGTTTCCTCTCTAATGGTCCCTGACGTCTGAGGCTCTAACATTCTGGTTCTTGGCCTCACCCTGTTCTTCCCCAAGGTGAACAGGAAGCCCAAGTCCATGTCCCAGTTGAGACCATTCCCCTCTCTCCCAGCCTTCCTCAGCACCCCGTCCCCAGGCCCAGGATCTCGGCTGATCACCCCTCTTCTCCCTAACAGGCAGCCTATGACACTGGCCTGGAGCACCTGGGACGCCAGGAGGTGGGGCTGGCACTGCCCCTGCTGGAGGAGGCGCTACAGGGGAGCCTGGCCCAGGTGGAGAGCTGCCGGGCCAGCTGCGAGGGGCCTGAGGAGCAGCAGGGGCTGGAAGATGAGGAGGAAGAAGGGGCTGGGGGGCAGGGGGGCCTCTATGAGGCCATTGCAGGTAAGGGGTTGTGTGTGTGTGTGCATGTCGGGGGTGCGGGCTTGGTGCCAGGAGAGGAGGAGCCCGTGTGAACTGAGTGGCTCGTGTGTGTCCCCTACAGGACACTGGATCCGGGTCCTGCAGTGCCGGCAGCGCTGTGTGGGGGACACAGCCACACGTCCTGGCCGCAGCTTCCCTGTCCCTGACCTCCTTCCCGACCAGCTGAGACGGCTGCATGAGGCCTATGCCCAGGGTCAGTGGGGGCCGGGCAGGGCAGACACAGGGCGTGAAGGTTTGCTTGTGACAGCATCCTGAGCCCACCCCTGTCCCCCGCCTGTCTCTGGGTCTGTAGCTTCTCTCGCAGGACTCTGAGGGGGACCTGTCACTCCAGGAAGACTCTAAGTTGCTCTCCTTTGGCGCCACTGTGAAAAGCTCAGCGGGCAATGGGTGCCTCTGGCTCCTTTGGCCCATGCTGCTTCTCGCCTTCCTCTCTTTCCACTCTCTTCTGCTTTGAACTCTGTCCGCTGCGGTATGTTTGAGTGAGACTCACAACAAAGGAGGAGCAGATCTGCAGGGCTGGGTGGGGGCTGCCGCAGTTGGGTGGGTGGCTGGCCGTCCATGGCCACCTTCTGCAGCTCTGCCTCCGCCCACCTGCTCAGTCCCTGCCCCCGCCCCGCTACTGCGTTTCCAGTGGGGAACCTGTCCCAGGCCGTGCAAAATGTCCTGAGCGTCCTGCTCTTTTACCCGGCGGATGAGGCGGCCAAGAAGGCACTGGCCCAGTACCAGGCCCAGCTGGGAGAGCCACGCCCTGGCCTCGGCCCCCGGGAGGTAATCCCTTCACGCTTACCCGAGAGATAGTCCTAAATGAGACCCCATCTGGTCTCCTACCCGAGCACTCTCATCCCCCAGGGGAGC